TCCTCACGACTTTACTTTTGATTTCACCTAAAAGAACTCATACTAATGATGATAATTATCCTCATCTATATACCATGAATCATTCTTCCCCTCGAACAAAGTACCACAAAGCCTCTCTTCAACTAGTCACTCATCCGTCTATTCTCGGACTGGAGCGAGAGCTTGCTCTTATCCAAGGCTCCAGACACACTCGGATAGAGCATATCCACGAATCACACTATGACTACATCTTCTGAGACTCACCACTTATTTGTTCGACACTCGAGGATTCATCGACATAACTAGGTTTAGACCATGACTCTTATACCACTTGTTAACAACAACATACCAGGAACTTCAAGTATCTCCACAATAATATGATATTATCTATTTTGGGTATAACCTTCACGGTTTTGCTTTTGATTTTACTTAAAAGGTCTCGTACCAATAGAGATAATTATTCTTATTTATATACCATTAATCATGCTCTTTTCTAACTAATGTGAGACTTTGTTTGTATTCTTCTTACAAATTCACGACCCAAAAATTTGGCAGTCGGGCAAAGTAACCTCTATTTTATTCATATTATCATCTTCATGATAGGGATAAGAATCTTTGACTTTGGGCTCAACGAGCTACATACGTGGCCTTATTTTCTTTAAATGATTAGGTTATCCATTAAAAATTAAAAATTCAAAGTATATGACCTTTATGACGTTAAAAATTAGAAGCTTCTATCACGTGTTGCATTCTTTGACTTCTTTACCTCTACTACTTTTGTATTTGTTTTGTGTCTAATCTCTTGTAAATGATGTGTGGCAGAATAGCGTAAGCTAATTAGATGAGGTAAAAGGGGTAAGATTAAAAAAAAATTATGGTAAAAAATACATAAGCTAATTAGATGAGATAAAAGGGGTCAGATTAAAAAAATTTATAGTAAAAAATACATATTTGGTAAGTTTAGAGTTGGTGCTTATTTATTTATTTATTTTTTTAGAAAAATTTTTGACAATATACCATTCATTCAAAAGTACGTGAGAAACATATCAATTGAATTATTTCTTCTTTGATATTGTACGGACTATCTTCTTTTAATCATAATTATAAAAATAGGTCGATTTATATGACTAAGATGAAGCGTCTATTACTTCTTTCAAACCATATATATATCACATGATAGAGGTAATTACATTGCACAAGAACATCATTCTACTATTTGAGGAGTACTAATATATTCTAAAGTCATAATGCCGATAAAGAGATAYTGAAAGTATATATCAAACAGGCAATACCAAAAAAATGTTGAAAATAGGTTAAAAGATTTGGGAAATTTTAATTGGTAGCTTATTTTGTTTTAAAATATATCAATTATTTATTTTTTTTAAAAGTAATTTGTAATTTTTAAAAGTAATTTGTAATTGTAAAAGTAAGTGTATTTTGCACGAGTTTCTGTATAAATGATTTATCTAATATAAATATCTATGTTTTTATTTGATGTGTTAGTTCATTAATTAATTAAGATATTGATTAACTATAATTATACATTATATGTATAATGATTTATGGTAATCACTGATATACTTATATTTCAATTTTTCTTTTATCACTTCTACCTATACAATTACCATCTTGATTTTTTAACCTAAAAGAAATTCTTTTCCATTTATGCATAGTATTTATTGTCTTTTTGGTCTAATTATTACCGATAATTTTAAAACTTATTTTTATTTTTATTTTTAATTTATGCATTATCATTGTAGGTATTTTCTAATAAATTATGGTATCGATATATATTTTTTCTTCTCTATAAATAATCAAAATTTCAATATTGGATTGTTTTTATTTTATATAATTTTTTAATTTGAATTTTAATGAAGTCGACAATTAACAAGTACATTTAACATATATAAAAGGAAACCAATTTTTTTGGTGGATTCCACTAAATTTAAATAAATAAAAAAGTGTTTAATCTTAATTTTTTAATGTAAAAACAATTTGTGGAAAATGACAGAAAATATGCTATATATTGCTAACTAAATAAAAATGAAAAACTAGATATTAATGGAGCAATAGATTGAAATACTTGGTAGATACTACCTTATTATTAATTTAAGTGCATTCATTATATGTATGTATATACATTATACATACATATAATTTATACATGTTAAGTCGTGCAATTTCCTAACCGATCTTAGGAATTTCAACCACCGTATCTTCAATATTCACAACAACAAAAACTCGTCCGGTGTTTATATTTAAAATTCTTGCACTCCCTGCTAGGATCTTTTGAATTTTGACATTAGGATTCTCTTTTTCTATGATTGGAGCCGCCACCTAAAAGTTTGTAAAGACAAGCTCTGACCATTGCAGTTTCCCTATTTTAAAATATATTCATGTTAGTTTTTGATAATGAAAATAAATTACCTATTATATTATACATATTGACGAAACACTTCTTAACACAAATTCATCATCCTAAATACATTTTTATATCGTGCATTAATAAAACATACAAAAATAAAAAAATCAATAAATACGTACCCCTACGATAATGTCTACCCTACAAAATTAAGGAATTTTTTCTCCTTTTTTAGACTCATATTGCTTTCAAATAAGTATTACAACTAATTAATAATGAATTTGGCATAACTTTTGAAATAATGAGAAATTCTTAGAGATTATGCAAGCATCATATTAAACCTACAATATAACCTTAATCTATACAAACGATTCAACTTTGGTTACTCTTCAAAAGCATTTTAAAAATAAAAATAAAACTATTTAAAAAAATATTTAATAAACTAAAACTAAGTGATAGAATTGAGCATATATACCACTGCACTCCATCTTGAAGCCTTGTTTGCTATGAATTCTTCTTTGTCCTTTTGGTTTGGTTTTGATTGGTAATGTTTATGAGGCTCAAAATTATGGCACATTTTAAATTTCCAACCAAATTATGTGGCAAATTTAATTTTCCAACCACCTTTTTTTTTTTCAAATTATTTAGGCTCTAAATTGTCACGTTTATAAAATGGAGATGGAAGTTGATATTTTGCGGAGCTGTCATTTATTAAAAATAAAGGTAAAATACACGTTTAGACGAGTCAATTTTGATTTTTGTATCTATTTGGTCCTTGAAATTTTAAAATAGACATTTTTGTCCTCCACGTTTGGTTTTAAATAGTCTCTGAATTAAGTTGACAACTCATGAAAACAGGACTGGTATCGATGAGTTAAGAAATTTTAAATGATGCAATATTTATTAATTTTATATTATGTGCAAGCTTTTAAATGTCGATGTTGATGTAAATGTAGAGGTTTCAATTTCATTCGATATCGATAGATATTTCTGAAAATGTTTTACTTACAAAAATAATTTTTTTCAAAAAAATATTTAAATTAACAAATTAGCATTTAACCATTTCTAACTAAATTTAAAAGATTAATATTAATATTAGTTATGCCTATATTAATGATATTTTATTGACATTTTTACATTTTACGGATTTTTTTATTTTTTATTTTTTGCAATACTACTAAAATGTCAATTATTAGATATTCAATATATGAATTAAATTTACTTAATCCATCAGCTTAAGCTTTTGGGTTAAGTGGTGGTATATTCATCTTTAACATGGTATCAGAGTGGGAGGCCGTCCTTTGTTCGAATCTCTGCATCGTTGTTTCCTCCTCAGTTTACCCAACCGATCATGACCATGTGGCTATTTTTGTTTCGCTCTTATCCTCTTTGTTACTCTTCGGGCAACTGCTACCACTCCTATTCTTTCTCTTCCTTATCTACTAGACTCATTTCAAAGGCTACAAAATCCAACATGTTTTCTACCCTTTAAATTTGGAATCTTAGACCTGGATAAGTGTCGTAGGTTTACTTTTTGTTAATCTTTTTTATTGTTTGAAGAATCACTTCAACAAATACACTGTGTGTGTTTTTTTAAGGAATTTTATGAATAGTAGCTCGGCATCAAAAAAAATTTCGTTTCTTTTTAGTCAAAGATTAGTGTCTTAACCAGATGAGTTATATCATATATTAAGAGGTCATGAGTTCGAATCTCCACTCCTACATATTGTATTAAAAAAATTACAAAAAATTTTATGTCTGAGATATTTACTTCAACTAGTTGAACTAAGTTCTGACTAATTAAAGGATAGTCGAGAAGATACATAAATCTAGTGTCGTTCTTTTTTTCGAGTGGAGTAAATATCAATGGGCCATGTTACAATTACGTGTTGCACTCTACAATTTCTTTAGCTTGAGGTTTGTACCTTTTTGGTGCCTACGAATTGTGAATCACGTGGCTCGAGGAGAGTAGATGATCAATTAGATTTATCAATGGACAACTAGAGGAATAGCTATATTAAATAGTTTAATTTGAAAAATGACCAAAAGAATCAGATATCAAGAAAATGGCTAAAGAACCGTTAGAGTTGAACTACAAAAATCAAAAGGGGGTTGGGCCAAAAACTTCAAGGTATTGGTCACCATTTAAAATTATATTAAGGACTAATTTTAAATAAAAAAATCAAATTAATGCTAGACGTCTTTCTTATGGCCGTCATGACATTAGTTAATTGGATCAACTTATACGGAGATTGAGCTCAAACCCATTAAGTTCGTAGCTCATATAAGACCCATAAATTCTATAAACAGAGATAGTCATCTCTCATTTGGAACATTAGGTGACATTCACAACGATTTATAAGAATTGGAGATCCAGAGTCAATCAGAGCATTCAAAATTAACTATAATTATATAATCACTGCTATATTTATATTTGAAATATTATTTGCAATTAGTTGTTTGAATCGAGGATTGTATACAGAACATAAAAGGAAACCTTTTTTCCCTTTTTTGGTGGATTCCACTAAATTAAAATTTTTCTAATAAAAAAATTGTTTAAACTTAATTTTTTAAAATAAAAGCAATTTGTGGAAGAATACCAGAAAATATGCTATTGCTGACTGAATAAAAAATGAAACACTAGATAGTATTGGAGCAATTGATTTAAATAGTTGGTAGATATACTACCTTATTATTAATTTAAGTGCAATTATATGTATGCATATACATTATACAAACATATAACTTGTACATATAAAGTGATGCAATTCTCTAACCGACTTTAGGAATTTCAACCACCGTATCTTCAATATTCACATCCACCCAAACTCGTCCCGGGTTTATATTTAAAATTCTTGGACTCCCTGCTAGGATCTTTTCTGCTTTCACATTAGGATTCTCTTTTTCTATGATCGAAGCAGCTACAGAGAATTTGGTAGCGACAAGTTCTGGCCATTGCATTTTTCCTATTTAATTTTGAAAAATATTCATACATTACCTAGGATCTAATTAAACGTATTCACGAAATATTTCTTAACACAAATTCATCATAAATACATTCTTAAACAGAACTCTAATATAAGATGAAAAACAAGAAATCAATAAATTCCCCTATGATAGTCTACACTAGAAAATTAAGAAACTTTTTTCCTTTTTCTAAATTGATAGGCTGTCAAATACATATTACAACTCATTAGTAATGAATTTGGTATAATTTTAAAATGGTAAAAATTTCTTTTAATTCATTAAAAGTATCTTTTCAAATACATTAAATTAGTACGATAGAGAAAACTTAGGACTTGTTTGATAACTTTCTCCTTTCTTATTCCTTGTTTCTAATTTTTTTAAGGACTAGAAACAAGAATATATTGAGTAATCATTTATCTTGCTTAATTTCTTAAAAAAAAAAAAGATAGAAACAAAAATTGTTCGATAATTATTTTCTAATTTTTATGTTAATATTTGTAGTTTTATTAGTACAACTAACCTTAACCTTTACGAATCATTCAACTTTGATTTTTCGAAAGTATTTTAAAAGTAAAAATAATAATAATAACTATTTAAAAAGCAATATTTAATAAACTAAAACAAAGTGATAGAATTGAGCATATACCATGTGGGAACTCCATCTTGAAACCTTGTTTGCTATGAAAATTACTTGCTCTCTCTTCTTTGTCCTTTTGGTTTGGTTTTGATTGGTAATGGGTGTGGCATTTATAGCCATTTTATGAAGCTCAAAATTAATTTTAAAACTTCCAACCAACCCTCAAATTTAATTTTTCAATCAACTTTCTTTTTTTTTTCAAATTAATTAGGCTCTAAATGGTCAAGTTTATCATAAAATGGAGATGCAAGTTGATATTTTGGGGAGCTGCTTTTGCGGCCATTTATTAAAAAATAAAGACCGACTATTGAAGTTTGAATTTAGTATCTATTTGATTTTTAAAATTTTAAAATTAGGTACTTTGGTCCTTGAATTTTGGTTCTAGATAGTCTATGAGTTAAATTGATGACTAATGAAAGAATTACATGATAATTGAGAAATTTTAAGTGGATGTGACAATATTTATCAAGTTTATATTATATGAAAATTTTTAAATAATGTTGATGTCGAATGTATGTAGATGTTTTAATTTCATTGAATGTCTTCGATATTGATGCATATTTTTGTAAGTCGTATACTTACGACGAAATATTTAAATTAACAAATTAGCATTTAACTCTTTCTAAATAAATTTAAAATGATTAATATTAATTTTGTTTATATTAGTGATATTTTTACATTTTATTGATTTTTTGTTAGACTATAAAAATATCAATTTACCTTTCGTGTTAATGTTGAACTCATCGAAATGTCGATAGGGAAATTTAATATCTTGATCCTCTCCGGTAAAAAATAGGTGTCTTAATGTCCCGATACATAAAATTAGAATTTTGGGAATAGACGAAAATTGAACCCACACCCACCCCCTTAGAGAGGGTGGAACACATACCAAGCAAAAAAGACAAGCAATATTTATTTTACAATGATGACATGTAATATATATTACATCATTTAACTTCATTCGAAACTCATCCCAGATCATAGAAACTTGTCCGTTAACTAAAGGTTCCGGACAAATTTCATAATAAATTCGTTTGAGTTTTATATGAATCTTAGGCGAGTTTCGACTGAATCCCTAACGAGTTTGCATGAATCTCGAGTAAGATTTATGAATTTCGGATATTTACAAACTGAACTTGTCCGAGTTTATTGTTGGAGCCTATTTGCTCGAGTTTTCATACCGTCAATGAAAATATTTGAGATAAGAAGTGAAAGCTCAAACCCTACCCAACAACAAATATCCAAAATACAACCCATTTTATCGCCAGAGAACCAAAAATTGAACAACTACAACCAATGGAAATACTTTGAGATAAGAAGTGAAAACCAAAAGCATACTAACATTTCACTTTCAGATTCAGATTTCCGAGGAATTTGAGAAATCCCATTCGCGCGGTTTGAAAATCATTTTGTTTTTTATTTTTAGTTTTTGGTTTTTTAATTTTCCAAAAATAGGATTTTTGATAATCAATTCAATTTTCTGTGTTTTTGTTTTTCAAACGAGTATTTTGAAATTTCATGTAAATTTCCAAAAAGAAAAAAAAAATAATTTTCAAAAAGTAAGCTTTTGCTTTTCAAAATCTGATTTTTTTTCTTCTAATATTTTTTTTTTCTTTCTCATATTTATCTCTAAAAAATTATTTCTCGCTCTAAAACTTTTTTATTTCTAAATTTCTCTCTCTAAAAATTTAATATTTTTCTTAAATTTTTTCTCTCTAAAATTTCATCTTTTATAACTTTTCTTTCTGTTCGTAATCTATTTTTTCTTGTGAAAAACTATATTTTATTTTCTCGTTCAATTTTCTTTTACGGTAACTTTTTTTTAACTATTTTTTTTTCAAAATCATTTTATTTATCTCTCTAAAATTTATCTTCCAAAGTTTATTTACACCTCTCCGTCCCCGTCCTTTGTCCCCGATTTCATTTTTTAAATAATTAATATGTATTTATTACACTTTTTTATATTTAAATTCTAAAAATAATTAAAAACAATTATAAAACCGATAATTTTCTCGAGAACATCTCTCGGACCCAAGAACGTGGAAACGGAGACTAAAAATTTTCACGAGCACGAGAATAGGGAGAGCATTCTCACTCGCACCCACACCATTGTCATCTCTACTCTATATAAAGTTTTTATTTTAAATTTTATAACTTTTTAAAAACAAAAAACTAAAAATGGTTACCAAACATGTTTTGGTTTTCTGTTTTTTAAAAACAAAAAACAAAAAATGCTTAACAAACATATATGATTTTTGTTTTTTAAAAACAGAAAATCAAAAATCAAAAATTTAAAAAAAAAAACAAAAAACAAAAAATTAAAATGGTTATCAAACGAACCCTAAATAATCCCATGGATAAGAAAAATGAGTTCTCCCATTTCAGGTCATTTGAACAAAACCTAAACATTTTTTAGGTCAAATTGGTCAATTTTCTTATGTAATCTTTAACCGACCCTAGGAATTTTAACAACCTTATCTTCAAAATTGACATCAACCAAAACTCGGTTACAATCGAAATTTAAAATTCTGGTGAGCTTTGGCATTAGGATTCTCATTTTCTACGATGGCAGTAGCAGCAAAGTGTGTAAAACCAAGTTCTTGCCAATCAGCTTTTCCTATTTAAAAATAGATTTCGTTGTTAAAATTGCTAATAAAAATCCCCTACAATATAATCCAATTAAACTTAGTCATGGCAATAAATACATGAAACATGGAAAACGTTTACGAATCACAGGAAAGCAATGCGACTTGGAAGCCGGGATGAAGATAAATACCTGGAGGACACTCAGACATGTTGAAGGCTGGGTTTTGGTATGGACTTGCAGACTAATTTTGATTTGAGTTTGGATATTATTGGCTTGGATGTGCCATTTTATAGCCATTTGCGAGCTTCAAAATTGTGCCAAATTTGACAGACGATCTTTCGGAAACTTGGAACCGGCCGGCGATTATTCCAAGTTTTCGTTATGGACAAAGTAATTTATATATTTTTATATCATCTACACCTCTTCAGCATCTTTGATTTTGGAGAGCTGTTTCCGTTTTTTAAATAAGTGAAATTGTTTGGAGTTTTCGACAGTTTTGGATGATTTTGACTTTTCCAGTGAAACCACTTTCTAGATGTTACACGTCAAAAAAATATCAAAACAACTCATTCCCTCTTACTCAACCTTAGCCCCTTTGGACCAATGAACCACCTATAATGGTTAAAGGCCCTTAGGTCTCTTAGTCATATTGATTTAAAGATTTCGAGTTTGAATCTTCTAATAAGTTTAATACCAAAAGCCCTTGATGTCGCTTGAGTCTAGATCTTGGAGTGGGTACGAATGTCAATAGGGGAGCAAACCTATGTGGCTCTGCCTCCAATCTAGCTTCTTCTTTTCAAATTTCATGGTTTCCATTTCCCCACACAATTCTTCTTCTTCTTCGTTAGAGCCCCAAGAGGTTACCTTTGACTGCATAATAAAGCATTAACAAGTGTAAGAAGACCTATTTCGTAAGTCATTAAATCAAGTACAATGTATGAGCATATGCAAAAGAAAGCTTCAATTACTTGAAATGGAATTTTTTTTGCAAGAATTGCTTTATTATGTGCAGAATGTAATTGCTTGCTGTAATCTAACATTTACATATTGTTTGTTTTCTTTCAAGTTCAGAAGAGTAATTTAACATGTATCAAAAGCATAAAATTCTATGTTCAACCTCTTGTCGTTTCCTCGAATTGGTAATTAATCTCCAAACCCACAGGTATTAAGCTTTTTAACATAAAATTTGGAGGCTCAGTGGTAATCTAACATCAACTAATCTTTTATCTCGAATGAGGGATTGTCTGTGTATGTACTGTGAGGATTGGATCTTTACATTCAATAATTTTCAGTTGGGTTGTTATTCCCGAAAGGTATGCATACTTCTAGCAATTTTCTACCTCAATATATTCAAATATATGGCCACTCTACGTGGATCCTTAATATGTCCCATTTGACTCTTGGTTGGATTCCATTTCTGGACTGTCATGAGATTTCAAATTTCAAATCAATTGTCAAGAAAAGGAGTAGTCATTGTTAGGAAGATAAAAATTTCATAATAACATGCTATAATTTATGCTGTGAGAGAAGAATTTGAACACGTATACCTTAAAAACGTGGGCATTACAATTGAGCGGAAACCTAACGGATTAATTGAAGCTCAACCAATCATAAAAATCTCACAACCACCATGAACAAAAGGAAAACTCAACAAGATCCAAATAATTCAAACTAAATAAAAGAGATAATTATGGAAAAAGAACCATCAAGTGAATGTGATTAGGAAGCTCCCGTTGGTGTTAAAAAGACAAGAGTTCAAACATAATGTCAGAATTTCAAAAAGTAAAAGAGTTAAAAAAAAATATTATGACCTTTCCACCTATAAAAAATGCCATAAATAATCTGCAAATGTTTAAAAAAATTATGACCTTTTCTGACAGATAAAAATTGTCATAAATTATGAAAAGTTTGTAGAATTCTGTATTTTTAAGTTAAAATCATGTCTTCACCATTTTGTGACAATTTTTAATTGTTATTGAATCTTTAAAAAAAAATCAGTTTTCATGACAGATTTTAACTGTCATAAAATTTTTTAAAACTCGAAAAGTTGTGTTTTTTCGTGCTGAAAACGCTTCTCCACAAGTTGTGACAAATTTTTTTCCTCAATCTTTTGCACGGTTCATAATTGTCATTGAATCCTAAATTTGTAGTAGTTGTACTTTAAGAAAATTTAAATTGAAGGGACCAAAATGGTCTCTTTCTAAAAGTATACCAATTAAAATGGAGATTTTGAAAATAAAAAACTAAAATGAATAAAAAGAATGCAAGTACTGAAATAATATTTAAATATTTTTTTAGTTCAACGTTAGACGTGATTCAAACTTGTAACCTTTTAATGGGATATATGCATTAAGAAGTTAATTAGCTAGGCTGAAGTTACCCTTTCTGCTTTGGATTTAGTTTTGAATAGTAATAGGCTGTGTCATTTTCCAAAGACAAAGTTGTGGGAACCCTAGTATATTTTGGCTCCTACCAAATAAAATATGTTTGGGTTATAAATAATATTATAGTCCATTCGAATATAGCTTGGTAGATTCAATTATTTTTATTTATTTACCTTTTTCAAGTTTGAAAGTTGGATCGACCCAAACAATTGTTGAACTAAAAAGAAGCTATAAAAGTATAATAAAATTTTGTAATCAAAACTATGAATTTAGTTAACACACCGAGAGATTTCAACTCAGTCAGCATATATGTAGATAAGTTTGTATTTAATTGAAAATATATATTCTATTATCTAAAGAATGTCATAGACAAAGTGAGCATAACTTAACAGTAATTGACATATATTTCCAACCAAAAAGTTGTGAGTTCGATCCCCACCCACACATGTTATACTAAAAAAAATATAAATAACACCACAAAGTTAGAGATAGTGACAAATCTAACAAAATTTTTATAAAATATTAGAAAAAATAGTTGCACGTAATATAAAAACGGAATATGTAGCAAGCTCAACTAATCAAAACACCTATCTCTGATCAAAACATCTTGATAAAATAAATGCCTGATATGGAATCGATGAACTTTGAAATAAAATAGAAACTAGGAAGGGATATATGTTTAAAAAAATGAATAAGTGTGAGGAGATTTTTCAATGGTTGATCTCGTCTATTGACCTACTAAGCCTGATTTGTGCATTAATTTATCAGTTTTTTAAATTAAAATTACTGTGTTTTAGAAGATTTCTACATTTTTATTTAATTTTTAAGGATAAAACAATAGATCAAAGAAGCAAAACATTTTTTTAAAATATATATAATGGAAAATTAACATAAAGAAATGCAATTTTTGTCCAATTCTAAGATTTAATTCAGTTAAAGTTTTGAAATTTAAAAAAAAAATCAGTTAAAGTTTTGAGTTAAAATTTAACCTTTTCAATCCAGATAGTTATATATGTATACAAATAACTGTATTTTAAAAGTTTTTTTAAATGTACTTTTAGTTTATTTATATAGATAGTTTTACTTTTAAAAATAAATATACCTAATCGGATATGCCACCCGTTCGTTAATTTAATTAGCACATATTTACAAAAATAATATATTATTTATATATACATCCCCATATCAAGCACAAACAAATATATTTGTTTTTCTAGAATCGGTAGATAGCACACATCGCTTTAATTTATAAAAGTTTTTATAGTTTAAAACTAATATGTATAGTTAAAAGTGAGAATAATTCAACGGTAATTGACATTATCTCCAACAAAGAAGTTGTGAGTTCGATCATCTACTCCCACATATTGTAAAAAAAAAAAAAGAATGTATAAATTAAAAGGAAAAAAAAACTAGAATGGATAGAATTTTATATTTTGAAGGTATCAAGGCGGAATTGATAAGATTTAATATCTAAATAGAACTTGAAGCATAATATTAGTAATAATTTCCACCTGCCAAATTCAAATCCGATGACTAATATTGGGATTATATTATCAAAATGTCATGTTTTGGTAACTAACTAAAGACACATCATTTAAATGAATTCTTTTTTAGTACAATATGTAGGAGTGGAATATGTAGGAGTGGAGGATCGAACTCACAGCCTTTTAATTGAAAATATATGTCAATTATGAGCTATGCTCGTTTTGACAATTTGAATGAGTTAATAAATAATTAAAAAAAAAAGAAAAGAGAAAATAAAATAAACTATAAAGGACACGCACTTGTGGCCAAAAATAGATTATTCAAGTTATTTATACGAATGTAAAGAAATATGGAGAAAATGTGGATATTGATTAGCAAGAGAAAATCACAAATTTTATTTAGATTAATAATAAAAATTTAACACCTCTAAATGAAGTTACAGAAAAATAATCCTAAATTTATTTGTTTTAAAAATACTTTCGTTCTTTCGAAGCATTCGTTAATATTTTGAACAAAAAATTTGACGTGATAATAATTTGGAATGACGTGACAATTAACGTGAAAACTTGTTTTTAATTAAGTTTGAAAAAAAAGAGAACGTAGAAGAAACTATCATTTTCTTTTATATTCGTAAGTGTCCAAGCTCACTTACACGCACCTCGACTAATTTCACGGGAACAATCGCCTGACACTGCACATTTAGTAACAAAAATTACTAATTCATAAAATAGATGGCCATCATCGGATTTGAATTCATTCAAACCTAATTATCATTTTTAAAAAGGAATTAAACCAAAATTAAATAGACAATGAATAAACAAACTCTCTTAACAAATTGGGGAAGAAAAATTTTAGGCAAATTTAAACGTTAATTATCACCTTGTTCTAGATTCTACCACTTCAATTTTTCATTTAAAATATTAACAAATATTTGTCTAAAAGACTATTTTTTAAACATTGATAAAAGATCATGGTAACTATTAAACAGAGGACAGAGTTCAAAGAATCTAACCTCTTTATATTTATTTTATTTTATTTATTTATTTATTTTTTTTTTTGAGGCACTCTTTATATTTATATTGTTAACGTTTTATTCACATTTTAAAGATTTTTTATATTTTGAAAATGGGGTATTATATTATCTCACACAGTCACATCAGTATCGAATCCTTCAAATTTTATAAATTATCGTTGAAAATATTACCTCATAGATGGAATAAGAAACAAAAAAAAATGGTATAAAATAATAAACAAATAATACCAATTGTTCTTTTTTATAAAAGTAAAACCAATTATTTGGGGATATCACTATAGAATTCCCACCATTTGAAAATATTAAATATACATTGGAGATAAGGTTTACATTTCAAAGTTGATGGCTTCCCATTGGTCCTTCCCACTCTGATGGGCCCACAGACGGCCTTAATTAATTATTAAAACTAATTTGATAAATAACCATATTTTAAAATATCGTTGTTTAGGTTAAATTATCAAATTTATCCCTTTGCCACTAAATTGATAATTCAACCTTTTCATAATGAAAATTACATAAATAACCTTCTTGAAAGGTCCAAATTTAACAAATTGAATGGTGAAATAATTGAAGAAACGGTTCCACAGACAAAATTAACTTTTAGTGACTAATGATTGATGAAGAAAGTTTTAACTGATAACTCTTTTGAAAATTTTATTATTATTATTATTTTCTTTTTTAAAATTTTAACTAATCTAACAAATAAATAAATAAAACCCCACCTCAAATCGTGAGACTAAATAGTAAATTAAACAAAAAAAAAAATCTTTTAATTTTTATATTTTATTTTATTTTCCATGGTACAACATCAGGTGGAATTCCATTTTAATTTTTAAAGTTTCAAAATATCATTTTAGAACCTAAGCTTTTAGGTTTATTTTATTTTTATTCCTTTAAATCTCATGTTTTCTAAACTTCCACTCTAATTTATTATGAATTTGATCCAAGTTGAGACTGGTTTAATTTTAGTTATTGGACTTTAAAAAAAGATATTTTAATCTTTTAATTAAAAGAAACCATTTTGATATTTTTTTTCCTCTTTAAATAATTTGCAAACATGATTTATACTATTTATACCAACATCTTAATTATACGAGTGTGTATTGAGACCACTCTAGTCGAAAATGATCATTGGATAAGTAAATATTAGGTGATAAAATAATAAAGTAAAGTTCAAAATTATTGTTTTTTAAATTTTCCATTATTAAAATAGACATGACAAAAACTAACCAAAATGGTTACCGTTGATGTTGGATTTTGGATGAGGTGACACATCATCTTCGAATGTCACCTCGTCCGCCGAGCTACTAATTACACACAAAACCTAGCACCAATATTCAACTATATATTCTTTGATGTTTGAATTATAACTTAATTTGAGCTGGTGTCAAGTTGAGCTTAGTTAGTTGAGTAGAGATTGTTTGTCTTTACGAGGAATCAACTTGGAATCGTGGCACTACCATTTCGTTACTTGATAGATTTTGCACCGATGATAGCTACATCTTCCGGTCATTCCAAAAGATGGTTTTACAAGTTCTTTCTCATTCTTGACATATTTGAATTTAGATCCAAACACGTGTTTTTAACGAAAGAGCACATCTTATGCTTACTCCAATTAATTACTGTGATTAAAATAAATATTTTGAAAGCAAGGAAGGCGACAAATTTAAAAAGTTCAGATTTGAAAAGTGAAAATGGATGAAAAACACGTGTATGACAAAATCTTCTTGCTGTGAAATATGAGGAGAGGATGAAAAGTGAAAATTGTGAAAAGTTGAAATATGAGGAGAGGAAGGCATCATCCGGGGATGGGAAGATGCCATGGAATATTCGAGTATGACAAAATCTCAGCCCCCACATCCGCGCCATCCGTCGGCCCAATCATCTCGCTTTCTTTCTTTTTAATTTCATTATCATTTTTATTCTTTCTTAAATCTTAATTTCCTTTTTTCTTTTTCTTTCTCAAATCTCGTCGTCGGATTCGTTCTCATCCAAATCCCTTCGATCCATCGATATCCAAAATTTGCCCTACTATGCTTTCAACTCCTCCCCCTTTCTCCTCCTGATTCTCGTCGGAGTTCTTCAATTATGGCCGCTCAGGTTCCGCCGGAGCAAAACCAACTCGAACGCCTCGATGTCTTCAAGATCAAAGGCAGAGACAAACAAGGCCGCCGGATTCTTCGCATCACCGGAAAATTCTTTCCAGGTTCCCATCTCTCTCTCTCTCTCTCTCTCTCTCTCTCCGATTCTATTTTCTTCCTCTTTTGATCATCGACCGCGTACTGTCAGACTCTGATTCCATCTTCTTGCTCTGCTCTGCTCTGCTCTGATTCTATTTTCTTTCTGTTTTCATCGATGAAATTGAAATTGAAATTGGAATGTCCTTAATCATGAAGTATCTGCAAATACTTGCCCTAGTATCCTCTGATTCTACTTTCTTGCTGTTTTTTTACTGATGAAATTAAATTTGAGTTTGGAATGAGCTTAATTATGAAGTATCTCCATACTTGCCCTAGTATGCTCCGATTCTGTTTTCTTGCTGTTTTAATCGATGAAGTTGAATTTTGTTTGTATATTTTTTTGATAATCAGCGCGGAGTGTGAGTTTGGATGTGCTTAAGAAGAATCTGCAGGAGAAGATCTTGCCTAGGCTGAAGAATAAGCCTTTCGCGATCTTATACTTCCACACCGGCGTTCAAAGAAGCCAGAATTTCCCCGGAATCGCCGCCCTCCGATCGATCTACGAGGCGATCCCGGCCGCCGTGAAGGCTAATCTGGAAGCCGTGTACTTCGTTCACCCGGACCTCCAGGCCAGGCTCTTCCTCGCCACCCTCGGCCGCATTTTCTTCACCAACGAGTACCATTTTCCTCAACCCTTCTCTCAATCAATTTCAGTTTTCCCTCCCAATATTCTTAGATATCTTAATATTATTATAATATTGCAACAAATCAAATACTCCAATTTTTTAAAAAAAGATGTAATATATATTGTCTTTTTTTGGTTTAATATATATATATCAAATCTGCGTATTTTTAACTTTAGAAAATTATATATATATATATATATATATATATTTCTGTTTCTTAATTTATCAATCTTGGTTCATTAATTAGTATTTTGATTTAAATGGCTTGGAGATTCATTTTAATTCTTATATTTTCAAATACATTCGCAACAGACTAATTTTAATTCTTATACTTTCTCAACTATTTTCTTAATGTCTATTGTGTTCTATTTTAGTACACTTTCACACCTTTTTTTTTAAATGATTATTTTAATTCAATTTCAAATTTTTTAAAGGTAGATATTCACGTCCCATTAAAATTTTTAAGATGATACTTTATCTACTATAATAAATAAATATTTTAAAAATAAAGTATTAAAATAATATTTAAATTAATATTTTCTTTAGGTCTAATTCGACCTCTCGTATTTTTCAAGTTTCTGGTTAATCTTTGAATTTTAGAAAATTTTGTCTCTCATTTTCATTGATTTGATTCATTTGGTGTATATATATATATTTTTAATTCAAAGCTTTATTGGACAAAAAGTAAAATTTGAAAAACGAGACTAAATTTGTAATTTAAGTTAAATTAAATTTATTGTTATTTTTTAAAATTAAAGGAATGGCATTGACGTAAAGCAAAAAGTAAGAATAATGCAACAATTTAAAATCAATTTTTTTGTGAGTGAGAGGGAATATTCGGATGTGGCAGGTTGTACGGGAAGGTGAGGTACGTGAGCAGAATTGATCTGCTGTGGGAGCAGGTGAGAAGGAGCGAGATCGAGATCCCGGAATTCATATACGATCATGATGAAGATTTGGAGTACCGTCCGATGATGGACTATGGGCTGGAGAGCGACCACCCTAGGGTCTACGGTGCACCCTCAATGGAGTCGCACGTGTACTCCATGAGGTGCATCTCCTAGAACAAAACTTTGCTGGTGCTGGAGTGGGCTTTGTTGGGCCTTGTTTAATGGGTTTGTATTTGGACCTTGTTCGGCCCATTAGTTTGCTTTCTCTCTCTTTTGGACCCCAATTCTGTTTTTCTTGTAAAAAAGCTATGCAATATGTATATATATGCCTTTTAATTATAGATAGTTTTAATTTTTAGCAGTGCTGAATAGTGAATGGCGTTCTTTTACATGTTTACTGAAGAAATTGTATAAAAATTTTGTATTGTAACTTGTTCTTTAAAAGGAAAAAAAGAAAGGGATTGTAACTTTGTAAGTTGTAACACGTATCCTACGCATACTATCAAAGATAGATCTTCAGTTTGACTCAGGATGATTTTAAGTTGGGTTGAATTTTGAACTTCAATTTTATTGTCCGGTAGATAAAACTAAACTAATGAAGTTATGTTGTACTAAAAAAATTGTCAATGACACCAAAAATTGAAAGATATTATAAATCTATGAGATTTTTTAAGTGTATTTTTATTTTGTCATTTTGTCATATTTATTTATTGCTTTTTATTTTGTATACAACATGGAGATTGGAATTGTCCAATTACTTTTTAAGTAAACTCATATTTTATTTTACTATGTTAAAGTTTATGTATTCCCGTCTTGAAAGAGTAGGAAAGTGGGAGAAATATTTGTATGCAGTACTAAGCTCCCTCCTAAAGACAGCTAGTTTGAAGCAAAGTCTTTTAGAGCCAGGGACAAGCAGCTTGGATTGGGGTATTTATTGTTGTTAATGTTCTCATGACAGAGATTTTGCAAAGGAGCACAATTTGTTTTATTATTTACTGGTAATTTTGTACACATTACAAAATTTGGATGCATTTCCAAGATTTTGGAAGACTAGTGAGAAATCAAATTCAAGAGACAAGCTCTGGCTCTAATCATCTCCCTGAATATCCCTTTCAATCCATTCTCAAATCCTTCCATGGCGATTTCCAAACCCTCTAAGCTTCCACGCGCAGATTGCAGCTTCTCCGCCTCCACGCCATCGCCGACAGCTCCCAATGCCGCATCCACATCGCCAAATTCATTCCCCATCTCCTCGTTTTCTTCGCTCGCTACCGCTCCCCTTCGCATCACCACTTTCGAAACTAATTGCCACCGACTCGGCTTCGATTTGGGCGATTCAATCGCCATTAACGACAGCACGGAGCCGAATATCGAAACGGTTGCGAAACTAGATTCCTTTAGGGCTCGAACCACAGCGTAGAGATGGAGATCTCCATGAATCGATCCGATTCTGTCGTCCGTTTGTTTGGCGGATGACATCAATTTCAGTGCCTCCTTCTTCGTCTTCTTTCTCAGGTGAGTGTAATTAGCAATGGCGTTTCTGATGCTCGAATCTCCCTTTCTTCTTCGAAGGGCGGATTGCAGAGCTTGAGCTTGTTCCTGGATTTGCAGTATCATGTCTCTTGTCTTGCTGCAGATGTCCAGAAGCTTCATGAATCCGTCAACCAATCCGTCCACCCATTTCCGATTCTGGTGGCTCGATAGGAGCTGTTTGGTTGAAGCCATGTGGAGAAGCGCATCCATGGAAGCGTACAAGTCGTCCAGGCCCAATAAGCCATCGCGGATTGACTTGGAGGTTGAAGGAGATGAATTCTCCCATGCCTTCAGCTTGCTCAATTGCTCTTCGATTCTCACAGTAGTGGGATGGGATCTGGAAGGTAAGCTGATTGATCGTAAATGGTAGCGAGCAGCCATTGTTGGATGCTTTAGAATGCTTAAATTTGAGAAATCTGCTGAGTTTGATGATCTCTAACTCCATGAATCTGCTTATATATGGGCACATTGCAGATTTGGGGAGGATAAGAGGGAGGAGACAGAGAGTGTGGATTTCAATGAATGGCAGCTTGGCAGCTGAGAAATGGCCGGCGGGAGTGTCCTTTTTTGCCAAAAAACTGAGAAAGGTCAGCTTAAATCTTGCTTTGAATTGTCTCCTTGTTTGGAATATAAAATTGAGGCTGCACACATCCCTCGTTTGGGGAGCAAATGCAATGCATATGCAGATGCTTTTTTCAATCAGAAATTTAATGTTAAATTTTGTTTGCTTTCTCTGCAATCTTGTCGCAATTTGAGAAGTGGACAAAGGGTTGACACCCTTGTTTCATATAGCCATGACAAGTTCTTATAGATTCTGCTTAGAAATGGCATGTGGTTTAGTGGAGTTGAAGGGGCATAATGTTTGGGGGCGTTTTTGAAAGTTTTTGGGGCAAAAATATTCTTGGAGAAAATTTTGATCAAGTGTTTTTCTATCCCCTTGCAACATTGCAAGGGAGTTACGGGATTCGAAATAGTAAGGAGTAGTTTCATAACTATTTCGTTTCGTTCTTATTCTTCTGTTCTTTATAAATATGTTTGTTTTCTACAATTTCATTAGTAAGCTTTTCACCGCTCTTGAAAACACATATTTGAGTTCTTATCCAAATTTGGTCTCAATTTCCAAATGTATATAAAAACTATATAACAAAATAGAGAAAGCTTAACTTTTAAAAACGAAATAGTTATCAAAGAGTCTAAATGATTTTTATACTCATTGAGGTGTTCAACATTGAGCGAAAAAAATATTTTAGTCATTATTAATCTTTTATAAATTATTTAGTAAAAATCAAACATGGTATGTGATGGGTATGTTTTGTTAGACAAGTATCTAGTATAGACTAAAAAAATATTTTAAAACAAAATTAGTATGAAAGTGGTAAATATGATTTAGGGTGTGTTTGGGAGTGTTGGTAGGATGAGTGATTTTGAAAAAAGAAATTCAAGTATAATTGATTTTTCAAAATGATCATCCAAGTGATACCTTACAAATCAATTTAAAGTAATTTTTAACTTTCCTAAAATCAATTTTTTAATTTGCCAAACATGATCAATGGCTAGGGAAGTGATTTTGATAATGGCCAAAATCACTCCCAAACACACCCTTAGACTATAGTCCTTAAATGATAGTTAAAAGCACTTTATAAGTTTTGTTAAAGAGTTATAGAAATATGTCTTGATTGAAATTAAAAGAAGATGCAAATTTTGAACAAAAAATACCCCAATAATATTTTGGATTCATTTAAAACACTCCTCTAAACATCTCCTACTTTCATTTCCCACGTTTTTTTAGAGGAACAGCCAAAGGACTGGGTAGAGTCAACCCCACCCAGAGAAGCTATACAAAAGCTTTCCAATTGTGTAAGGAAGTGGAAAGATTGTAATTACAAAGAAAATTTGCTATAGCTAAGGCACCACCAAGAAGTAGTGTGCCGAATACATCTACAAAAAAAAAATTCAAAAGTAGACCTCTTGTTTTCAAAAATACAACGATTTCGTTTTCTCCATAAATGCCAAAGAAGAACCCTGGTAACGCAATTCCATATAACTCTTGCTTTTTTAGGATCATTTCCCACATTTTGGATAACCAGAGGCAATGGTGCTTAATTTTTATGGATCAAACGGCACAAAAAAAGATGGAAGGGAAGAATCTTGGGGGCAGAAAAGAGACAGAGAAACAGAATATTTAAAAGGTCACCTAAATTGCAGAACACTGAACATGTTCACTGGAAACAGATGGGGTGGAGGAAGAAGACAAGGCTTTCAAGGATCTAGCATGTGACCGTACAGTTCGAAAGGTACGCATTATTATTTATTATATTGCACAAACAAGATTTCTTTTAACAGAATTTATATTTAAATCTTCATAATACCCATTATTTGTAATTTTGAACCTGACTCTTATCTTTTTTATATTGAATATGAGAAAGTAGATACGGAAAATAAAATTTTCTTTGAAACTTAATAATACATAGAGTTTGAGTCTTGTCATTGTAAATCTTTTCAAGTTACTACGGATGTGTTAGGATATTAAATCTCAAGTAGGTGGTTACCACGTTTTCTTTAGGCTCTATACTATTTACCTTGGCCCTTAATAGACCGCTCGGCCAAACTATGATAATTTTTAGGCTCTAAATTAGTTATGACGGGTATTTGGAAAAAAATGTCCATGCTAATTACTAACCATTTTTTTTGGATGTGTTGGGAGTCCTCTCGAACTTTTAGGAATGGTTTGACATGTTCAAGTATCTACCTCACSTGCTATGTTTGCATGTATGTTATTAGTTCATGGGTAGAGGATTGAACATTAAACCTTAGCAGCTCAGTTGAAAAAATTCATTTAATCTTGATTCTCCTTATTGTTCCATAGATCGCATCTGACATCTCAATAATTCAGTTTTTCTTTTTCCGATGAAGAGGAGTTTATTCAACCTATAGTGTCAAGGGACCTCATTTCTTGCCATGGTGCGCTAAGAATTAGCAAACAATTATTGAAAACTACGGACTTAGACAATAATTGTAAAACTTCAAAACTATTCATATCCTTCAAAATTAGTTCATAAAAACTATACAAAATAAACTATAATTGAATAAAATAGTTATAACCTTTTCTTACAAGTTTTTAACTTGTAAAATAAAATGGCATCCTTGTTCATAAGGAAAATGGCTTTTGATCGTCACAATTCAAGTTGTTTCCATATCCAATACCCAATATGTCACAATACCTTTGGTAGAAACCAAGTCTATCARCTGCTCGAGCGTCGGTGTCTTTATTACATTCTTTAAAACCGCTTATTAAGTTGATGGTTAGACCATAACCAGGTAATCTTTTAGCAGATATATCTTGATCAGATGGTATCCATTTACCTGTCATAATATCATGACATGACGGTTTGTTTCCTTGTGGAGTCATCCAAAACCATAAGGCAGTCTTGAATGATATGGTTGCATCGGTCGCCACAAGATCGGGATTGTTTAGCAAATCCACCCCAATTGCTCTACCAGCAGCCCCATAGTTGAAGTTACTAGTCACCCAAGAGTCATCCAAAAGATAAGCATTTCAATAATGTGAACGAGTGTCAAGTTAAAAGATAGTTAAGGCATGGGTGCTCTTGAATATAGAGGAGCAAAGTTCGGACTCCTAATAATGTGAATAGGTGTCAACTTTAAAGTGAGTTGAGAAGAAAATTATTCTCCCCACACCCTTTTGCACTATTCCATTACAAAAGTCACTACTTACATTACGGTTTAACTRCTATTTTGATCTCTGTAGTTCGATTTTGATTCATTTTAGGTTATGTACTTTCAAAATGTCAATCTTTGTTCTTGTATTTTTAATTCATTTTAATTTATATATTTTCAAAACGTTTATTTTGGTCAATATATTTTTTAAAGGTAATCATTTTGGTTCCTATTTCCAAAATTTTAATATAAATTTTATACACAATGGAAATCTTCTAGTACAATTTTACARCTACATCTCAAGAAATTTTGTAAGTTAAGTGTCATGCTAAATTTATGATGAAATAAATGAGATAAWAATGATGGTGAAGGACCAAATAGGTTTTTTTTTTAAGTATATGAATTAAAAGTGCCTTTTGAAATTATAGAGAGTAAAATAGTATTTAAACATGTAAATGGTTTCATATTTACCATTTTTTAGAACTAATATCAAATTAAACAAATTTTTATAATTTACATTTATTCTCTTACATTAATAAGTATGCTATAAGGAGCTTTATACAGGGCAACAAGYTTTTAGTTGGGTAAGAATTATTATATTATGATTAGTATAGTAGATAATGATTAGCATTGTTATCATGTTTTTTTAATAGAAYAAGTAAGGGTGAGAGATTCGAATTCATGCCCTCTTTATCGGAGAGATGTGTCAATTATCGTTAATCATATTGGTRCATTATTATCACGTTTTCAATCATTTAGAATAAAATCCTAAAGTAAGAAGTGAGAACTTACAAGGTGATTTGGAAGGGACCTCGGCCATAATATTTCTTGCCAGATGCACAAGGCCAATTTTGGGAAGGACTACATGAGGAATCTTTATTGGTMGAATTAACATAGCAATACCCCCAAGCATATGGTCCATCTGGTGCACTTGCCCATCCTCCTAAAAATAAAAAATGAAAAATATTTCATTTACTAAATTTAATATTGACGCTAATGAATTTAAAGAGAAGTTTCTGTTTAGTTGTTAAATTTTAAAAATTGACAGTTTGGTTTCGACGTTAATCAAACTTGATAAAAGAAAGGTCAAGATCAGAGATCACTTATACTCAAATTCAAAAATTAAAAGTGTATTTTACCATATGTAGAAAGCTTTTGAAATTCAATAATGTATTATTAGATACAAAGTTAGAAAATGAGTAGGCATACAATTTAAATTCCACTTAGCAAATATTTTATAAAGTTGACATTCTTATTAGACCATTTTAAATTTCACGATTAAATTAACTCCAGGTAAAAAAAAAGAGAGACAATTACATCAGTAATTTTGAAACGGAGCGAATAATTGACGTTGACCTGTGGTCTCGTGAGAAGTTTGAGCGAGGAAAGCGGCGAGCTCCCTCTTCCTGGCGATGAGATTTCCGGTGGTGCCGAAGCCGTCGAACGACGCCGCAGCAGCCACAAATGCTYTGTAGCTATAAAATCCATGGCTCTCGCACCTCAAATCGTTTCGATATTTCAGCATCTGCTCGAAAACCGAGGCGCTGATTACGCTCCCGATCTCGGCGCTAGGGCTCGCAAATGTCAGATCTGAACCACATCGCCTCGCAAATCCAGATCCGCACAGCCCCGATCCGCCGCCGCAAATGCCTCTCGGACACATCGCATCCGCCGTCTCTCCTCCGCCGCACTCCGACGCCGACGACGACGGCGCCAAAAGAACCAAGGTTAGAACTATGAAACTGTACATATTCTTCTCTGACGATGCTGTGAGGGTGAGACTCGTTCCGTTTGAAAATTTTTCCAAGTGGAACTCTCTAATTGACTGGTCCTTTTCATTTCTATCGTTTTTTCATTGGCTAACTCAGTTTTATTCCGATTAACATTTGAATTCAATTTACCCTAGAAAAAGATTTGTGAGAATCAAATTTCAAAGTTTGAGTTAACCATTTTTTTAATATAAACATCAAACTTGAGCCAGGTTTTTATTTCTTCTTTTGATTTCAAAATCTTATACTTTCATCCTAGCTAAATATAGATTTCATCACACCTAAATATATCGTTCAGTCTCTCATGTTTTTTCAGTAATTTTTTTTTCAATTTAGTTGGTTTAAAAAGTTACTTGATACTTGCTTAATTAGCGAAAATTGAGAGGGTTGATGCGTGGATTTTTGGTCCTCCGATTCTCCTCCTCGCTTGATTCGGGACTAATACCTGAAAAACCAAATCGAGCTAAACCCGTGTGCGGCACCACCTCTAAGGCTGACGTAAATGTAGTCAACTTTTAGATGCCCCTACCTCTAAGGCTAGATCGCTACTTATAGCGTGAAGTTGTTTCCAGAACATTCCATAGGTAGCTAACCCTAATTTGGGGCGCGAGCCTGGGCGAAACCGTGGATCGAAGACAAAGGGCCGCGGGCTGAGGGGACCGAGCCCCGGGTTCGGACCGAGCCCCTCGTGGCCCAGCGGGCTTCCCTCCGATCGTAACCTGTAGCTCGACTATCGATTCCCGTTGCATAACAGATAGGAGAAAAAAAGTTGAGAAAGTTTATAATTTCTCCAAATTTCGAAACTTTGCATTTTCTGCTATATATCAAATTAAAAAATTTTGATACGCGGAGGATGAGATTGAATTTTTTTAGTTCAATAACATGTGAGAGTGGATGCTCTTTATCCAATAATACTACATGATTTTTGTCTGTGATATAATCATATTTTTTTAGTACAACGATATAATCATATTTTTGCTATATCAACATATAAAATTAATTTTAATGAACCCAATTAGCATTCAAGAAAAATGAAGTATTATTTAAATTTTAAAGATAAAAGTATAAAATTTTGAAACTTATTGCACCAAATGAAAATCTATAGTAAAACTTKTATGGATTAAGGAATGTCTTAAGATAAGAGATACTTAGAGTCAGGATTGTCATATGAAACTTTTCCGATCAAACTTTCCTGACATAATATCACATTATTTAGTACAATAAATATAGGAATCGGAGAATGATGGAAAACTTTCTAGTTGTACTATATTCTTTTTGTTCACACTATAATTTTATCTTTATAAATATTTYTCTTAACGTTGGTTGACCTTACATCATTTTCAGTACGACGATGACGAGACAAATATTTAATGAATGATAACAAGACACGTTGTCGGTTCAAATATAGTTAAGTGGACGGTCCATGAACATAATTGAAGCTCTCTAAAATTTCCATGAACTTTAACTTCAAGGCAAAATTTAAAAGTTTGAATTTTGATGAAAAAAWAAATCTCATAATGTTCTGATGCTTTCTTTTTCYGGTTTCACATTTGTCTCAATCAAGTCGTCGTAGGATGTTACATCAGATGCCACTTAATTCTTGCCCTTTTCTTGGGAAATGCAACTATACAAAGCTGGAATTTTTTCATTTGATGCTACTTTTTAGTGGCACATTTTTTTTTAACCAAAAAAAAATTAGGTTCGCTTGATCATTCCTATTGACTACTATTAAATGTTTGACTCCCGAACCTACACCGAGGTATTAATTTTTTATCTTTTTTTGTTTTTCAGGAAAAAAAGCTATTTTGACGCGTACAGATTGGTCCAATTTATATATATACTTCCATTGAAACGAATAGTGATAGAGATATATTTCGGTCGGTAGAAAATGAATACTTATTATGTAGTACACTTCGTAGTTTTCATATCACCTAATTGAGTTTACACTATTTTTTTCCTTTTGAATAAATTTGTATTTACACTCGAGCACCAAATAATAAGTTGTCTTCTTGCCAACCTAAGCATAGCTAAACTGGTTAAAACATCTGTTCCTGACTAAAAGTTTGTGATTTCGAATCTCTACCTCCACATATTATACTAAAAAATATAGTTGTCTCTTCCTCTATTTGTTCTCTCTATTTCTTCTGTCGTTCTCGATGATGATCTCTTTAATTTGATCTCTTCCCAACTTTCAATGAAAGAGAAAAATAAACAAGAAAAAAGTTACATAAAACAAGTAATTTAAAGTTAATAAAATTTATCATATATGCAAACATAAACTCAACTCCATGATTGAAACATAGAGATTAAATACAGAGATGAGGTTTAATCCCCCCATCTCCAAATTCTTTTTACTAAAAGAAATTATATATTTGAAAACATATTTGATCACCAACTTAACGGCTAAGTTAGTTTTAAAAAATCATTTGCAAACATTTTCAAAATTTTAGAGACCTATTTTTAAAATCAAAATCATTTTTATATCTCACTTACCAAAAACATAATTTGCCGTTAAAAAAGATATAACAAAAAACAAATCCCCATCAAGTCAATGGAGGAGACAAGATAATGTCAAGCATGAGCTGGATTTTTATTTTTTATTTTTCATATTTTATATTTTATATTTTTAAAGGAAAAAGGAGCACAAAGAACACGTTAATGGCTTCTCTTGACTAAAGATTTATTTTATTCACCAATCAAATTCATGAGAGCTTCCTTTTTAACCAACTACACCTCCACCTCCTCATTCCACTATTTTAATAATAAATAATATGTTATAATTTAGTCCTTCAACTTTATATTATTTATTTATTTTTCTTTAGTTCAAATGAGATGTTGGAKAACTCGAATCTCCCACTTTTAAGGAAGTACGTAATATTTTGACCAATTGAACTGTATTCGTACGTCATATTTATTTTATCTCTTGAACTTTTAAAAAGTAATCGTTTTGTTTTTACCATTTATTTTACCACATGATATAAGTCCATCCAATATCTATTTCAATCAGCTTATATACCTTAATATATGTGTATACATTTATTTGAAAATTCATTATTCATCGTTCAGTTAGTGAGAAAATAGCGGCAAAAATCCACGTAGTTTTTTTTAATAAAAGTAATAAAGATTAAAATAGACATTTTGAAAATTTAAGTACCAAAATGAAACAAACTTGAAAAATTATGGATTAAAATAAATCTTTCGAAAAGTTTAAGGACTAGTCAACTTGAAGATAACTCAAACCGACCAAAATGAACAAGGACAACACTTCTTTATTGATGACCAATTCCTCAGTTTTTTTACRAATAATACTTAAGTGCTAACCGATCARCAYCTATCTTTTTGTTGACTACCATTAAAAATTTGATAGTTTTAAAAAATATATATATTATTTTATGCATTCCTCCCTCTTTTTAATATGTCAAAAATTTAATGATCATCGGTCAAAAATAGCTGTTGACTAGTAAACACATAAATATTATTCTTGTTTGGCAAGTAAGAGAAAAGAAAGACTTTTTTAAAATATATATTTTTTAATAAATAAATACATATCAAAAGTTTCTACTACCATTGAGGAAAGAAATAGGAAAAAATATAAACAATATTTAGGTGCTTAATAGTCGACATCAATTTCTATATTAACCGTCATTATTGAAAAGTTAACACTTCCTTTTTTTAATTCTTTATTTTTACACGTCTCTCTAATTTATCAACAATTTAACAGTAGTTACAAGATAGATAYCGATTCTTATTTTCCAAAACTTACAGTATCACAGATGCTTAATAGGTACTCGAACACTTACATAACACTTATCTATATATTTAACCCTCATCGAAAAATCGATAATTTTTTTCTAACCTTCATTTTTTAACCTCTTATTTATCAAGAATTTAACGGAATATAGATGCTAACTCCTATAATTCTCCAAATATATATATATATATATATAATGTGTGGAAATGGGCGCCATGACTGAAACAACTTGTGTTTTTTTTTTCTTTTTAAAATTTTAGGATTCGGTGAGGCTGTAAAATGTAATGGGCTGTGAGTCACAGGAGGGTGACGCCACTCTTTAATTCCGTCTCCAAATTTTTAATTTCCATGTACTCTATAAATTTCCTAAGTACGTTGTGATCTCTCTCATCTCATGATGGAATTCGACGGCCGCCTTCTTCACTGCCCGGCGAATCTCCTGCCCCTCTCGCCGGTCACCTTCTTGAAGCGGGCCGCTGCCCTCTACGGCGGCCGGACCTCCATCATCTACGGCACTCGCGCCTTCACTTGGGCCGACACTTACTGTCGCTGTCTCAAGCTTGCTTCCGCTTTGGTTCATCACTTCCACGTCTCTCCCGGTGATTTGGTACTTCTTTTACTCTCCACCCCCTTCGACGTTTTAATATTTTTCAATTATACTGTTTATGTTAAAATTAGCTTATGATAATTTAAATTGCGAGATTAAAAAAATTAAAACAATGGTATATACTCCARAATCAACTGATATATTTAACTAAAATGATTAATAAATATCTACTAGTCAAAACGAGCATRGCTCATCGGTAATTGACATATACATCTAAACTATATATTCACGTGGTTGACTACCTCTCTAATTATTTATTTAAGTAGCTTGATTTTATAAAATTTCTCCTGATTTAATAATTATTAAAAAAACATTTTTTAAAAAATTGTTAAAGAAATAAAAATATCAATAAACATCTGACTAAATTAATTAAAGTCAATTGATAGCATTTCTTATTTCTTATGCCTTATTTTACGTTCATATACTTCCGAATATCATTTTTTTTTCTTGAAGAAAAGGTCTCTAAACATTTCATCACAAAATTAAAATAAAAAGGTTAACAAATAAAATTAAATTTTAAAATAAACAAAAAACTAAAAATATAATCATCAAATTTGAACTACTTGAACACTTTTTAGTTGGGTTTTCTTTKCTTTTTTTTCTGTCTGATACTGCTGCCATAGAATTTTTGTTTTTTTAGAAGATATGTGTTTCAATTAAAATATTTATTTATTTTTTAAAAATATTATTAAAATCTTAATCACATGTTATGTACTTATGAATAATTGGTTTACTTAAATCTCCCCCAAATTTCAARCATTATATCCAATTTTTATTTTATAATTTCAAATGCAAATTTATAATCCTAAGCTAGAGGCCGTATATGACTTAAAACATAAATCATGTAGTTTCATGTAATATTTTTATAATAATATTTTAATGGCAAGAATTAAAACAGGTTTTTATGTAAAATTCAAACATCAAAAACAAAACATATAAAAATATAAAGACCATAAATAAAATACCCACAAGCCAAGTAATAAAAGATTATCTAAAAAAAATAAAATTTACCCTTTACTATTAGATTTGTAACAAATTTTAATGTTAAAATTTTAATTCCACCAAATTGAACTATAAACTTAAATAAGTGGGTGAAATTAGCACCTCCTAAAAATTAAATTATAAAATTTTCTATAAACCAACCAAAAAATTACACACAATTCAATCAACAAAAGAACTTGATATCAAGCCATAAAAATGAGCCAAACTTAACGACTAAAAAATATCAAACACAATAAAAAAAATATATATCGATACRTTTTATCATCTCAAAGATTGTATTATAGAAGAACTTGACTAAAGACGAGTCAACAGTCAATGCAACTATATAGTAATTATGGGCAAAGTCGAATTTTTAAATGGTGAAGTCGTATGTGTGGGGTGTCACACTCGCACCTTTTCAAAGCAGCTCGAGCGATTGTGCGGCACTTGCTCTAGCTCAAACGAGCAAGTCAAACACACCCTAGACAAGCATGTCCACAATATGGGGCATGCAACTTCATTTCAATCGAGAAGAAAATACGCTATTTACAAAAATTCCAAATATAAGTATCTTCAATTATTGGTTTTAATTAGTGACGATAGAACTATAGGAGAGAGCCAATCTGAAGTAGATGATTGTCACTAGATAAGAAACATTTTATCATCTCAAAGATTGTAGCTTGRCTGGAGATGATTGTCATCCATCCGTCAATGCAATTAGTAGTTATGGGCAAAGCCAAAATTTAGAATGGTGAAATTGTGTAGACCATGTAACTTCATTTAGTACACGAAAAAATGTTATTTAYAAAAATTCCAAACATAAATATCATCAATTAGCGACCATAGGACTATAGGAAAGAGTCAATCCAAAAATAATTTAATAGGCAAGACATCTTTTATCGTCTCAAAAATTTATTATAGAATAGCTTGACTAARGACGRGTCAACTGTCAACCCGATTAATAGGTATGTGTGGAAGCCGAAACATTAAATGGTGAAGTCTTGGGAAGCATGCAACCTCATTTACTCATCAAGAAAAACTCTTTACGAAAATTGCAAACATAGATATCTCTCAAAATAATATATATACACACACACACACACACACCCACACCAATAGCTAAAAATAGTTTTAATTGGTTGCAGTTGGACTAGAACATAAATATTCTAATATATATATTGGGACTAAAAAATATTTTAGTCCATGTATTTTCGCTAAAGTAATAATTTAATCCTTGAATTTTTGTTTGTAACGATTTAGTCTATATATTTTTAAATKGGTAACAATTTAATCCTTGAAGTTTAATATATAACAATGTAGTAGTCCTTGTAATTTAAAGTTTGTAACAATTTAGTCATTATTTGTGAAATGTTTTTTTATTAAGTTTCTTATATGTATGGATTGATAAACTAAAAAATGACTAAATTAAATATGTTTATATAAATTAGAAAGATTAAATTGTTATATGATAAAATTTGACACTTAATTTTAATAAAAAATTATTATAGGGACTAAATTGTTACAAATTTAAATTACATGAACTAAATCGTTACAAGTTAACGACTAAATTGTTAATTTATAGAAAGTACATGGACTAAATTATTACTTTTAGTGAAAATAGGGGGACAAAATGTATTTTTTAACCTCTATATATTTATTTATTTATTTATTTATTGTCCGGATCAAACAAAATGTTATATTCTATATAATCTTTTGATTCCCAATAATAAAGGAGATAATAAAATTAAATGGAACATTTTAAAAATATTAACTGTGTTTAATGTAAGAAATATTAAAATTGAAAGAACAATTTTAATTTCCTACGTCCATATCTTCAAGTGGGAATGAACTGACTATTTTTTTATTTTTTTTTATGTGAAAAAGATGGTCAAAAAAATGAAATAAATCTTCCAAATTTGATTGAGAAGGAAAGCAAAATGGAAAATCATCTTTTCCATCTCTCTCCCTCTTTCATTTTCAACTTTCACATCATTTGATTTGTCATCAAGCTTCTTTCTTTATTCTTCCCTCTTTAAAGTTATCAAATCCATAAAATCAAATTAAAAAAAAAAAGATTAATTTGTTTCTTTTTAAGAAATAGTTAAAAATAAAAACATTTTTTTTTCTCATTTGGAACYATAGAGGTCGTCTTTCCGAAAAGAGATTTCTAAGTCGTTGGAGAATAACTTTTATTATAGAGAAATTTTACTCCATAAGATTTAATTTTTCTTAATRTGTTTTACGTTATATTAATTTATTTTATTTTTGGTTTGGATTATGTTATTTTTATAAAATTTTAAATTTTTTAGACAATACAAATTTCTTTTATTTTACTTAGATAAATGGCTCTTTATTAGTCATCTACTGATCATTAATTTTATGATTATGATTTRAAAAAAAGACTATTTTATTAGCAGTTTTCCTAACACTCTAATGTAGAATGGATTTACAAGAATTTAAAATCACATAATAACTTGTAAAGATATTATTTATTATTATATTTCAAACACTAAAGAAATCATTTTAAAAACTATGATAAYTGGGACCAAATAATTTACTATATTCTCTCTATATAAAAATTTTACATAGCAAGGGGAGAATGTGAGACGAATTATTATCACTCCTTCCGTTGTGGTGAAGCCTTTGGATTAAGAGATTGTGTAGATCAAACGAATTTTCTACACGAAAAGCTATTATTTAGAATAAATCATTTTATTTATAATTTTTTGTTTTTTAAAATTTTATTTACTCTCACAATATCTAAAATATGTTTTCAGGACATATTTGAATTTTTAGTCAAATTTTAAAAATAAAACATTTTTAATTTTAAAATTTTAGCTTAAATTTTGAAGACATTTTTAAAGGTAGGTAGCAAAATAAAATAATACATACATGGGTGGGTAGGAATTTGAATTCACAATTGAAAATATATCTCAATTACCGCTTCGCTTTGACAAATCGCTTTTAAACTTGAATTTGTTTTTTTAATGTTTTTTCTTTCGCTATGCTTTAGACTTGTTAAAATATACCCATTTTTCCCTAGAAGAATGTGATATATTTATTATTTACTATATATTAAAATCCTGTTTTTAATGATAATTTGTTATTAAAAAAAATGTTTAGTAGGATAAATGAAAAAGAAATAATAAAAATATAAAACAATTAATTAAAAAAATATGGATCTCATTAAAAACAGATGATTTTTCATTTTGTATCGGTAGTAAGAAGTAGACACCTTATGTGCATATAATATAATATATGCAGGTTGCAGCGATGGCGCCCAATATCCCAGAGATATACGAGCTTCACTATGCAGTTCCAATGGCCGGAGCCATCATTTCTCCTCTCAACACAAAGCTGGACTCCGCCACTTTAGCATTACTCCTCCATCAACTACGCCCCAAAATCATCTTCGTCGACTCCCAATTTCTTCCTATCCTCCTCCAATCCCTCTCCCAAAATAATGCAAATTCCATCAAACCCGCCGCCGTCGTCATCGTCATCCCCACCGGCCCACCCGAAGTTCCAACCTATGACGGAGTTCTTGCCATGGGATCCGACG